GCTAGAGGATTCAGAGTGAGGAAGAGCATAAACATTTTAGTGCATTTCTAAGCAGCAACTAGACTAGAACACACAACAGTGAAATTTATATGCAACACTTAGGTCTTCCACTATCCCCTTCTATTGCCCAACTAGTCAGAAGCAAGTAGAAAAAAATAAGGTGAAGACTAGGTGAAACTTTATTTACATTTGATTATTCTAAAGTTTAACAAAAAGCAAAGCATATACTATTCTTGTTATTTTCTTTTCCCTGCTTACCATGTGCGTCAGGTTCAGAAAACTATTTTCCTTCTGTTATCTCACATGTGAGAAAACTTGGTCATATCATCTCCACTTCTGTAACTTATGTGCATCTTAATTATGGCAAAATATTGGCATAAAATAGTTCCTGGGAAACACTAACACTTTCCCTTTAAAACTTTTTGAAGAATTCAAGGATAAGTATTGCTGTTCTTTGTATCTTCAGCTCACTAACATTAAGCAAATTTAAGCAAACACCATTCCAGCTGTGAAATATGCCTTACTGCTAGTTGTCAGGTATTCGGCTACCTGAAAATGCATCAAGACTGCACTTCATAGGACAGTGCAAGCAAAAGTGATATGTAGTTACTCTTACTTATTAATGACATCATAATTACACAGTGGCAAAATAATCACCCTTTCTAGGACCTACCACTTGTCCTCTATGTCGATCAGAGCATGATAATTACATGGCAATCTGCTAAATGCAATTACTCAGCAATATACACTTAGTGATAGCTATTACCATACTTGAAGCCATTTAGGGTCTATACAATTCAGCACTTAATGTTAGTGAAGTGCTTTTAAATACAAAGTAATCTTTATAAGAAACCTCTAAACAGAGAAAAAGCCTCCCTTTAGAAGAGTAGGGAGAGTAAACTAGAAGTGAAAGAGACTGGCCAACGCCATAGATTTTGATTTAGATGCCACTATACTACACAGACTGACATGGAGCTCGATACTGCACACAAAAAAAAAGTCAAAACAGTGACTTAAACAGAAAGCTACAAAGACTGGCCTTCACACTGCACCAGCCGACTCCCCACTCTAACATACTGCATCGTGCTGCTTCACCGATCAAACTAAAACACGACTCAGTTTTACACTGCTGACTTTGTGCATTCTTCTATCCAATGACTTCGTTGCAAATAAAACTGCGGGTTGTGTTAGAGTGACTAAGCTAACCTAATGTGACAGAACACCATTAAAATCTATTCCAGATAGGGCCGCAATTAACAGCTGAAAACTAGAACCACAAACTCAAAATATGTTGGCTCTTGAGACCTGTCTGCACTCGCACATAATATACATCAATTTTAATTCCTACACCTCCACATGCCAGTGAAGACAAGAGACCACTTCAGAAAGTTCTTCTCTTGATTGACTAGGGATAGTAAAGTTGCTGGTCATTCAAAGGTTAACTCAATTTTAGAAAAGCAAATCTGAAAATGGCACAGCATTGTTCACTCTGCTGGTCACACTTCCTAACAGCACAGCCACCAAGTTGGAGGTTACACTATTTCAGGAGTCTACAGAGATACTCTTCTGAGGAAGAGCAGCAAGTTACATGAGATCTGAATTTTTAAAGTACTAAGACCATTTTGTTAGGCTTGCATGAAGGGCTCTCTCCCAAATTCCCCCCAGTTCCTTCCCATGCTAAACAGCCCCCAGTGTTAGCAATTCTCCAGGTCCCTATTCCATGACAGATTTTATCTCAAGTATTAACTATTAGGCAAGTCCCAAATCACCTCTTGCAACCCTAATCTCTAGCAATCAGAAAACACAGCCAGAAGAGACCTCAAGAGGCCATCCAGGCCCTGTCCTTACCCCTAGGAAGGATCATATGTCATTCCTGACAGATATTTGTTTAATCTGTTCTTAAAAGCCTCCAGTGATGGAGATTCCACAACTTCCCGAGGCAACGTATTCTGGTGCTCAACTATGTCTGCTGCTGCTGCTGGAACTTTTTCTTAATGTTTAACAGAGACATTTTTCTCTAATTTAAACACTTTATTTCTGGTCCCATTCAGTGCAGATGTGGAGAACAGATTATTACCCCACACACACTTAAAACAACCTTCTGCATAATTGAAGACTCGTTTCCTCTCAAATCCTCTCCAGATTAAGCCCCATCAACTGCAACCTCTTTATTTCTCTGTAGGTTCCAACCTCACCCTCATGAAAGCCATGAACACTGCTATCAAGCATCTACATATAATTCCTAACAACATTTTTCAGGCAAGCTGTGCCAGGAGGAAAATGCAAGCTTTGTTTTCTTCTCCTTACCCTTGCTCTTCTGACTATTTACACACCGTATCTAAAGTGCACTTAGCCTATCCACTCAAGAAACTTCAAGGGAGAATTCTCTTCTAGTGCTGCTGTGACTGATACACAGGACAGCAACATCACAAAAAGCACATTCTAGGCAGTGTTTTAAATCAAGCCCTCTAGTATCATACATACTAGTTTATTGCCTGTACCTCCAGGACAGCTCTTTACTTGACCAGACTGTTCCAAGTCTGGTATTCAGTATCTGACACCCAGTCTCCAAAGGTTTCAGTCACTACTAGATTTGATATCTAAAAGCTGTTAGGTAAACCCTAACGCCTCAGCTGCAACTGTAGTGCTCTACTGTGTTTAAGAATGCAATGTGATTTCCATGGAGAGAGTCATATCTGAATACAGTGCATAAGCATTTCACTTCTCCAGATTAATTTTAGTGCATAGTTCAGTCGCTGTTTTGATTTTTTTTTTAATGTTAGAAGTAGCAGCTATTATTAATTTTAATCTCAAAGAGTTTTAGATGTTAACCTTAGCTAGTATCTCTTCAAAGATTTTAGAATCATAGAATTGTACATTAGGGTATTATTTTCAAACTCAGTGACAACCATAAAAACTCATGTCAGACTGCCCTCTCCTGGTATCACAAGATTCAACCCAAGTAACTACTGCCATTCTCTTTCCAAATCTCAAATTTCCATTGACACAAAAGCAAATCCCAAAATAAAACATCAAGGAGACTGTTTTGATAACTTCAGTAATGTTTCTAAAGCAGCAGCAGATGAACAGCATTTAAGTAGTGAAGTTTCTTTCAAGTCGCCTTAGGAGCTCTTGTCTTGGGAAAGACTGGTGATGTCTGTACAGAAAAGGAAAACATGCATAAAAACGAAACTGTTCTGTTTGCTTTTAAGCTTTATAAAAGCAGCCAAGTACATAAAAGTATTTTATTCCACATCAATAACATTAAAAACAAGGTCACAGAAGAGATCGCTTTCAACAGAAAGCTACTTCCTTCAAGCTGGCACAGGTATTTCACTAGGGCTGAAACAGAACTGTATGAAAAATGAAAGCAACAGCAAATGTTTAAACAGATGACCTACAGTCATCGCTTTTTATTACATTGTTCAAACTAGAAAAATGAAAGGTAAAAACTAGTAAGATGACAGGTCAACTACTGAATAATATGCACTGTATTTAGTACACATACACCAAAGATTGGAAGTGTCCAGAAATGAAGTACAGCTTTATTGTATGATGAATGTCTCACTTTAGCCAATTTAATTTTTAAAAATTAATGTTATATACAATAACGATTTAAAAGTTGTTTTGGTGGCGGTTTTATGGGGGGGTTTTTTTGTTGTTTTAAAATGAGCAACCTTCACACCAGAGAAGCAGAATTCATTAACTCTAACACAAAATTTAGTCTTACTTATAGGAACTCCACCCCTACTTGTGCCCAGCAGGTAAAGCAAGTCTTTTCAGAAGATGGTAACAGCTTCCCTGCCTTCTACTCCTCCCCTTCAAGTCAGAAGTGCTTTCTTTCTTATTTGCAGAGAATCAAGGGGGGTTTTAGGATATTTTTGAAATCTAGAAGAAAATTCATGTAGATTTCAAAAGTGATTTATAAGGGATGATCAAGCACATTGGAAACATCAAGACGTCAAGCAATTGTAGCTGAAAGGGCGTACTTCACAACATCATGGTTTAACTACTAAAGACAAATTCACATTTTATCTATTTCAATTAAACTTCAAAAATATAACACAATTTTAAGTTTGAATCCTGTTTTTTCCAAAGAAAGGAAAGAGCCCTATCAGCAAAATGTGGATTAGTATCAATTCCCAATTGCCTAAAAAGTAACTTGTCACCACAGACCATATTTTTGAACTATCAAATTTGTTTCTCTTTATTTAAAACAGCGGAGACTCGCGTTTGCTGACATGTCTCCATTTAGCAACTTCATGGATCGACTGTGCATTTGAGAACAGAGCAAGTGTAGCAAGATGGTCTACTGGACACATCCAGTCTAACAATCCCAACTAAGTTTCAAGGGCAAAAATCCCACACTACTGTGCAGATACCACAACTGGAAACACTTGTCTAAACACAAGGAAATCCCAGACTGTGATAATATGCATACAAATGCATGCATAAACATTATTTAAATTTTGTATATTGTCTTACTGCTATATCTTGCAACAAAATTCACTAGCCCCTAGGAGCAATACTTCCAGCTGAGAAAAATTGTTCTTTGCCTTCTTGAAATGACTAAACTTGGTGTTGCAGAGAAAACTGGTCATTTGTCGAATTTTTTAATAATATTAGCAGTGTTTAATTGCTATTGCTCTGTACACAGCATTGAAGTATGAAAACACATAAGCAAGGATGTAGGCTGCAATGAAGAGGTGATGTCAAATTCAGTTCATTGTGGGAGAAAAATTTTTTACCGTCTTGATTACCTGCCTTGACTGTCTACCACACCAATGCTCTGAGCCAAGCTAGGTCTTCCACACAGTTCTGATCTTCAAGCATTTTTGGCATCAAGACAAGGAAAATCAGTTTTAAGTTATCCAGAAAATTAATAAGGAAATAAAAATTAAGGAAATATAAGTGGGAGAGAGAAGAAAACAGCAAGAGAGAAAATATAAGAATCTAATACTGACCTTCACTTTAGAAAATCAGAGGTAGCTGAAACCTCACTAAGAGTTATTTTCAAGGGGTATTTCTACTTCTTCACACTGGTTTTGGTTACTTTTGTCCTTCCTACGTACAGAATTTGTTATGCTCCTTTTGCGGGTTTGAGACCAAGTTCTTGTTTCTCGGGGTGTGGAAACACCCATGCTTTTCCTCCTCCATCTTTTGCAAGGACCATCAGCAAGGTTAACAGAGTCACTGTTCTCCTTCCCTGGTGCTGAAAACCGGATGAGATTTTGTTCTCTATGGTGAATATTCTCAGATTCCATAAGGATGGATGAGCATATGGTTCTCCTGATTTTGCAAGCAGAAGCTAGGAGGGGAGGGTCTTTTTGAATCTCACTGGGTACTTGAATCCATGCAAGCCCTTCAGTTGCGGCATCTTTACGCAATCTCATGCTGCGTCTCACCCTCTTTTCGCCACTGTTATTGCTCTTTCTTCTAAAGGGCTCTAAGGAGTCATCTTTTACCTGAGGAGCAGATAAGACTTCTTCCACATTAAAAGAAGGAAGATTGTTTCCAGATATTTCCAGTTTTTCAACAGGAGGAAAATACCTGGCACTACTACTTCTTCTTCTCCTCCTCCTCGGTGGACTCTCTCTTACACAATCTTTTTGTGGACTCTGAGTTCTCTGGGCACCCTCATGTACACTAGTGTCCTGTCGTTCCAGAAATTCTAGCCCGGTTAGCTGCTCTCCCTTATTTAGGGCATTTCCTTGTAGTATCTCATTTTCTATCAAGGAACCACTTTCTTTTGCCTCTTTTACACATGCAGTCTCTTTACCTTGCTGGAAACAGTCAGATGTATCAAAACCACACTTTGCATCTAGCACAATGTTTGAAAACTGAAAAGAAAAAAAAATTTTTTTATATACAGGCAAAAGGCAGTCCACAAAAAACTGGTTTCAAACAGCTGGCAACTAAATAACTGCTCCTGTTTTCCTCACCAAGTCTAGTCATTCTCAAAACACCCAAACCAACGAACACACAGAATCCGGTATGTTGGAATCTGCTCCAGTGTGGGGCCAAACTTATGTTGCTTGAGGCCTTGTTCAGCTGAGTTCTGAACACCTTCCCAGGATGGAGATTCCATGGCCTCTCCAGGTGGGCTGTTCCAATGTTTAATCACTCTTGGAGTTAGGTTTTTTAATTCCCCCAAAACATCTTTTTTGATCCAACATCAAGCACAATTACTATTTATTTCCTAGCAGTATCCCTAAGCATATCAGTTACCTGATGATCAATGCCAGAAACAGACTTCAGATCACCATCTGACACCTGAAGCACTGTATCACTGGAGCCGCTAGCTTCCACAGTGTCCAGGTCCGTAGAGTTTAAATACATACAAACTGCATGGATGTTTTTTGCTGTCATTCTTTCAACCACTGGCTTCTGTTGAACATCCTTGCAAGTGCTGCTGGATTTGGTATTATCTAAAAATACGTCCTCTGAATTAGAATGAAACGCATGGTTACTTCACTCTACTTGTGAATGTACAAAATCTTTTTTTACTTATTACAACAAAAGCTTTATTGTATTTTACTTGCATAAAAGTAACCTTCTAAACAACCATTCCAGATAACTAGTGTGAAAAAGACCAGAAACCTACTGCACATCATTTAACTATTCACACCCGATTTACCAGTTTTAAAGACTACGAAAATATCAGTATCCAGTCAAAGTACAGAGAGGCTTCTTTCTTTTTTTTTTGTGTCAGCTTCACACTGGAGTCCAACAAGAGTTAAATTTATCCAGCTGAGATTATTAATCTGTTAGATCATCTGAACTCTACTATTACAGAGGCAATGAAAAGTAAAAGGTGTATACTGGGATCTTTACCTATACACAGAACTCAAGATAACTATCAACAGGGTTTTTTATGAACCTGTTGAAAAAAAATTAGAAGGAACAGAAAGAGCAAGGCAAAACAAAACTAAAAACCACATTACCTGAAAAAACTGCATTTGCCTTTGATGAGTTTGGAGATGAGGCAGAAGAGAAAACCTCTGGAATTTCAGGGATAGGGCTGAGAAGAGGTTTCTTAGAAACCATTTCTCTTTACCTATATAAAGATTTTTTTACTTTTTTCTTTCTTCTCTTCCCATAGCTTGTATATTTTGTTTTCTGAAAAGATTGAGAAGACTGAATAGACCACAATGTAAACAAAATTATCCTGTTCAATATTTTCCAACAAATAAGTGACACCATTACTAGATTTTGATGGGTAACAATTGCTTCCCCTAAAATGAAGGTTCCACTCATTCTGCCATCTACAAATTAATCTAAAAACTCAAAGCAAAGGGGAATTATTTTTCAAACATAAGGTTTATTTTTTGCTTCTTTTAACCAAATTTAGAAGTCAAAGAAATTAGTCTTTCAGCTCAAAACTACAGATTCTTCACTCATACTTAGTTTGAAAAGGAATGTGTGCTTTCCCTTCCAATACATAAAAGCAAAAATCCTTTAGAAGTCTCTCACCTTTACAATACTTAACTAGCATATAACTGGGCAACTTCAAAGAACGACTACTGCATACACTTGGTAAGAGAAGAACCATACACTCATTTTCTGTCCCTTAAGTCTGAAAAGTGACTCTCCTCTTCACCTCCATAAAGTATCTTTTTTGCCTGACGAGTATTTAAAACCTGCTAGTTGGCCTTAACAAACAATAAGAGATGCGTGGCACTAAGCGTAGGAAAACAAGATAGGCATAAAAAATAGAATATGGGCAGCAACAGGAATCTTAACACCTTTTAGAAAATCTTTACTACAAAGATCAAAATAATCACGTAAAACACACAAGAAAGATGAGACACTTGGACAGAGAAATAAAAGTAATCACCACTTGCAGTGGGCTGTCACTTACTTGTGTCTTTTTGGCAGCAGATGTGGTTATATTCTTTTGTCTTTGAAACTTGTTCTTTCTTGGATTTTTAGTCTCTTTAGCATTCTTCGTACTTGTGGCTCTTGAGATGCTAAAATTGGCCCCCTCTGAAATGGTGCTACGCTGTTGAGGAACATGAGTTTTAAGTTGTTGGGGTGCACGCATATATATGTGCACATGCATATGTTTGCTTTTTTTTTTAAAATACGCCACAGTCCAGCAGTCATACGAATCACATTGCAATTAGTCTCTGTTATTTCACATATGAGGTCATAACAGCTAGACACTCACAGCTGGAGATTCAGATTTATAGAGCTAGTCTCCTCACACAGTACAAGATAGTTCTATTTGTTCAAAAAGGGCATTTTAATGAGAAAATAGTAAATTTTCATCTTCAGCTATTTCTTTCAGAGAAGATGGATCACTTTTTCAATTTATTTTTTTTGCTTTCCCCCTCCAATAAAGCACACTAGAACTGTACAACACTGAAGTCCGAAAGCACTTCTTACAGAAATGGTTGTACAATAAATTCTATGCACCTTAAAATTCCAGCTACCAGAAGAAACAGGGATGATACTCTGTCTGCCTTATGGCTATCAGACAAAAAGGTTAACAGGACTGAAGATCTTTAGCACTGGACTTGGAAACACAACCACATTTTCGGTGATGCTGAAAGTCATCACAGGTCACAGAATAAACTTGACTTTATTTGCCTCTATCTCATGTTCCTATAACCCAAAGAAATTAAACCAAATAGAAAAATTAGACAGAAAACTTTGTTTCTATTCTCTTCCTCAATTTTCTGTGATTATAAGTTTTTAGATAACCATCAGTGAAGCCTCTGATCCTATGAATGAAATGTATGAATAAATCTCTTCTAAATTTTGTCAAGACTATTTGGGAAAGTTCCTGGGAAATTCAATAGAAGCAGTACATTTAAGTATCAGGCTACAACCAAAAATGTTTTTAATAACTGGAAAACTTATTTCCTTAAGACAACTGCCTGCACTAACATGAGATACTTCCATATACCTGGATATATACAATCCTCATAACTGTGTCTGTAAAAATTCTTAAAGCATCAGGAGGTATAAAAGATAACAATTCTGCCTGAAGGAAGTTAGGGAAAACAAACACCATCACTGAAGAAACTTACCTTCCTTTTAGTAGAAGAACAAGTTGTTATCATACCACATTTGTCAGTTTCTGCTATTAAATATGAAGAAAATAAGAATAGTGATTCAGTTCCAACCCAAAAACTTAATCACATTTTGAGGAAATTATCCACACAATTTCTAACATTACGCACAGTGTTTACTCATCTTAGTCTTGAGTAACGTTTTCTGCATAAAGGACTATCACACATGGCAAGATTAAAAAAAAAAAATAAAAAAAATCAACAAACAACTGAAGAGCTTGCTTTACAAAACAGAGGAAAACAAAACTTGTGAGGATTTGGTAACAAAATAATTAGCACTTACATAGCTTTCATAGAGAGATATATATACACACACAAGTCCCTTTCAATTTTTGCTGTTGTCTTACATACTATTTTAAAAAACATCAAAATTACAGTATCAGAATCAAGATATTAACCAAATTACTTAAAGCAGTAAGTCTAATTAGATCAGCCACTTTTACAGAAAAGTATCACAAGGTCAAATCACATCCACTTAACGTAAACAATGGGTAAACACCACAGCTACTGCAAGGGCCTTTAAAAGAAAGCAAGAGCTTTTAAATTTAGCAAAATTGAAATATAACCCTGTATAAAAACAAGCAAAAAACTCCTGTGTCATCTCTCAATTTTCACATACAGAAAGATGCATTAACTAATGACAAAAACACAAGTTGGGGTTACCTTCTGCATTTTCAACAGGTAGGAGGTCTTCTGCAGCAACAGAACCCTCCTCTAACTCTTGAAGAGGCTCAACACATTCCTTTAAACAAAAAAAAAAAAGGTAAATTTGTAGCAATATACTGTACCAGATATATATTGAAAATTATCTTGTCCATTAGTGTTTGGAACAGCCAGGCAGTTTTACTTTTTTTCCTTAAAGAATGCGGCAGCTCATCTGCTATATGTGGTAAAAAGAAATACCGTGTTAAAAGTATATGAATAAGCCAAGGCAAAAAAGATTTCATGTGCCAGTACTCAACTTTAAACATAGCTCTAGAGGCCAAAATGCCATTTAGAATTCATAAAGCAAGAGTTCTCAATGTCATTTTAAAGCTTAAAGCAGACTCAATATTTTACCAATTACTTTTCAAAACCAAGCAGACTGGGGAAAAAAATTAAACAAAAATCAAACACTGACAGAGACTAAGAGGCTGGGTTTATACCTTAAAAAAACCCAAACAAACAACAACAAAAAAAAACTTACATCGAAGTTCGGCTGGGATAACGGCTCTTCAATGAGAGCTGACCTTGCAAAAGGACTATTACTTTGTAACCCTGGATGACGGACCGGCGTTGCTCCTTTGCGCAATGGGGTATTTGCGGGCAAAGTTTCATCAAATATTTCTGGGCTTAGAACTTCTCCAAAAGTAACTCTCTTCTTTGGCTTTTCAGAGCTATGTCTTTCAGTTTTCTCTATCGTAATAAAATACATAGACTGCTTAGTGAACTTGGAACTTTCATAGAGCAGCAACTTTTCAAGTTTTTTTTAATGGGTCTTAACATTCTCTTTAAAATTCCTCACGGAACCAAACAGCAAAATACACCTTTACCTGTCCTGTGGATTCAGCCAGAATTTTCAGTGTAGCTTTATTACAGTATCAACAATTAAGGAAGAAAAAACCCCAGAATACTAGAAATGACTAGCTGTTCCACAAGTTTCAGTTCACAAGTATTAAATTTCTTGAAAAATAGGTGATCCTATTCTGGTTTTAGAGACTTTCCGAAGTTTTACTGTGGGATTTTTTTAATTTTTTAATACACATTATTCTCCTTTGCAAGCTTATTTTCCACTTTATGCAGTACGATGTCACACATGAGCTACTTCAGCAGTGGTTAATGCATATCATTCTTCAGATTTAGCAAAGAGGCAAAACCTTATGATCCCACATAACACTCTACCTCTTTAAAAAAATAAAATCTCACCTGTTTGCAACACTTCAAATGTTTTTGCATAATTGGAGACTGTGAGAGATTCACCTCCTCCGTCAACTGCATCGTTTGAGTATTCCTATCAAATTCAAGTGATACAATCATCTATTCAATACCATTAATTAAAATATTGTCCTTTCATTCAAATCAAAAGTGAAAATAACTTTTCCTGTAAGCAATATTTAATAATCTGTCCTCTTTTGTTTAAAAAAACCTACTTTTTTTCTAAATGAGTAACTCAAAACATACATATGGATCTTCTCGTAACATGAAAGCTTCAAACAAAGCTTCCACGATGACCAAACAGCAAATAGATATCTATTGATAGCATTAAATTATTTCCCCATGCACGTCAATTAGTCAAAAAGTATCTTTAACCATGACTCAACTTCTGGTAGTTCAATACTGACTGCACAAGTTCATCTTTAGTGTCAGTTCCTCCATGTAAGTCAGTTAACCAACCTTCATGCTATCCATTAGTTGCTTCATCGGCGTTTTCTTCAATACAGGTCGCAGATGGGAGCCACTCTGTATATGTTCATTTAATGAAATATTTTCTGTTCGTAGTGGTGTGATAGGTGGCTTGCTTTCATCAAATATTTCCAGTCTCAGTTCTTCCGCAAAACTAACTTCGTTTCTGCTTAGATCTGATATAGCATTACTTCTAATGGCTTTGGTGATGTGGTCAGAACTGAAATCTTTAGAGCAAATAGACAGATATGACCATTAAAGACTGAAGTAACATTGAGAAGGCGTTACTATTAACAACATGAACTCTAAAGGTGCACATCTCAATAAGATTCTGTGCATCAAAATCACCTAGCATCTCAAAAAAATCCATTCATTTCTAATTTTCTGCTATTATTGTGCCACCTTTACATTTCCTATTTTGAGAAGTTTACAAAACATACAAAAGTAAAGAGGGAGCATTGCATGAAGACAAAAACATTTTGCATAAGGATTTCTCTCTCATCCATGTAAACTGCGAAGAAAAAAAGTATTCTCTAATGTACAGAGAGGGACTTTGTACATTAATATCCCCCTCTCCTTCATAGGTGTGAACTACTCAACTATACTTTTCACTACAAATGGCCTGACTAACAAAATTAGGGGAAACTCAACAATTATTCCCAGCCTGTGTCTCAGTTTGAGCTTGTTTTTTCTATCAAACTGCTAACATACCACCCACGAGGCCCTAACTCCACCTTTGAACTACTTCAGCTCCTCTCATAAAAGCTATTTCCTTCTTATGAACTGTGCTTAAGTAAAAACACATTTAATGCTACGCTGTACTGAACGAGCTCTGAATTCAATTTTTTAAACTAGGACTTGAGCCTCCTCTGCAGCAGCACTTCAACAGATCATGATTTGCAGTACTTGTTGTTGTTGATCCCCCATCAGCCTTTATGTCAAGGTTATATCAGGTTTCTGCTGCATTAGAAGTCGTAGACAAGATGGCAGGCATGGGATGACTGCTTGTGAAACATTTCTTTACAAATACTCTAAGTATTTTTACTTTCTAATAAGAATATAACAAAGATTATAATAGTGATGAATCCTCTTACCATGGCCTGTTTCTAAGACATCTCTAATTAGAACAGCCTCCGACGACTCCATAGGACTGCGCTGCTCATAAACCCATTCCTAGAGAAAAAAGCACTAGATTATATATATAACATCTATTTATATACACACCCACACAACATGATAAAGAAATAAAAAAAAATGAGCTGCTGAGGTTTTTTGTGAAGTGCTTGACATAAATCTGTTTTAACTCTGTCCTCATTACTCATTTGTAATACCTACTTTTTGAAGTGTTGCTTCAAGTAATTATTTATTAGCATCACAAGTATCAACTGCAATCAACGCAGAAGAATAATACTGAGGCTGCTTAATCCTCAACTGAATAAACAGTTGTTGAATACAGCAGAAAATACTTTTCACCTGGTTGCCAAACTCTTAATCCAAAAAGAACAGGAGACACTTACCTGACCAAAGAACCTGAAGTTTTTCAAACCAATCTCAATATTCAAAGATGGGGCTGGGAGGTGGTATAACTACTTGCAAATGCTGCCTTTTAAAATAACATGAACTACAGAGTTTTTTAAATCCATAGACAAGGATTTCAGAGTTCTCCCAATTATCCAATACTTTGGTTGAATTTATTTTCCCAAAACAGAAGGCTAAATGCTTAAAAGGATTAGACATCAGAAGTGAAAAGAAGATGGAATGAAAAATCTGTATATTTTAGTCACTAATTTAGGGGGTTTCTTCCTAACCTCCATACAACTGTTACACTATCACAGCAGAAGCTGCTAGATCCAGCAGCATCAGAGGACACAACTTGCAAAATGGACCCCATCTTTGCTGGTTTTAGGTACGACACTAATAAAAGGATTACTAGAGATATTTGTATAGAAGAGAAATTAACCCCTCCATCTGTATACGAGTACATCTTTTTTTTTTTTTTTTTTTGCATGGAATACCAAATAACTGCCAAACAGATGTAAGGTGAAGATTAAAAATTGCATTCAAAGTCATCCAAATGACCAATAAAGTTGGTTTTGACATCTGGGAACAGCTGTATTTGCCAAATCCATGAATGTAACATCCCACATAGTTACAGTTGTAGAATCAAAAGAATTAAAGCATATTTAAATTTAATTAATAGAATAAAATAAGCTTTTCCATGTGATTACCAGAAACAAGTATAATCTTATTGACTAGAACAGTTTATAGCATCCACATTGAACATTGGCCTGTAAAAGGAAACTGAGCACAGCCTCAGAAGAGCCAGCAGCAGGTATCTGAGGTTAGGCTATATTCACTGTCAGTCCAAATGGATCAGTGTCCCTGCCAGATTTTGCTTCCCTCGACTTGTCAGAATAAGACACAAAAATCATTACAAGGGAGATTTGCTGTGCTTTTTTCTCCATGTGCATTGCCCACACTTGTACGAGTACCTTTGAAACAGCAGCAGCAGGTTCAGTGATGGTCACATCTTGGTGTGAAGACAAGATGGTGCATACCTTCCTATCAGACTTAGTGCTGTTTGTTAAATTTTGTCTTAAATTTTCTTTCAATTCAGCTTCATTGTTGTCTGACATGAACTTTTCACTCCACTGATCCAGGTTCTGCTCTTTTGTAAAAAGTGTTTTGTTCTGAGCTGCATCAATTAAAAACAAAACAAAAACCAAACAACAAACCACAAAGACAAACTTCAGATTTTTCATTGAATGCCCTTTGGTTTCTTCACCAAAAGGATGGCAAGACTCAAAGCACTAGGTAATTTTCTAGTCAGGAAAAAGAAAGCACATGCATTGTTTAGTTCTACTTTGAAAATAACGTCACCAAATCTTCAAAACAAAGCAAGTTATTGTTGTTGTATAAGTGTTATTAAGACCAGAGATGTATACCAGAATACCAGAAAAGTAAAGCACTGTAGCTTGTTTTACCCTATCATCTTCTCACCATTACCACAGTACTGCCCTGACTTGCTTTTGCAATACTTACTGTTTTCATTAAGAAATAAGGATGTTAACACCACAGTAATGTGATTTGATTTCTAAAATTACTGCACTTAAAAGTTATTAAACAAAAGTCTGCACATCATGATCAAGGGAGGCAACAGTTACAACAGCTAAAACTAGTTGTCATAAAAACCATTCTCAGTTTCATGGAAAAAGAGTGAAAACACTAATACATAGTGAAAAGTAAATTAAAGGGTATAAACCTAGAAAGTAAAACTAAGAAAACAGTCACAAAAAATACTAGCCTTCATTTTTCTTCAGGGGTTATTCTAAGAAACAACTCGGTTTAAACAAACAAAAAAAACCCTCAAACCAAACACAAACACCCCTGTGCCCATCCTTATAAAGGAAGATATGTTTTGGTTTATATTAAGTGTTTGTAGGTTTGTACTTCTTGGCCTAAAGGAAAATCTAATGTTTAAGATAAATCATTGACCAGAAATATAATCAACTTACAACAGCCTGCTTCCTGGGAAACATCATCCACTTGTGACAGTCCAGAGAAGCCAGTCTCCCCTTCAGCTTCTTGTACTGATTTAAAAGATGTTTGAAAGGCATCTATCTTGTCCTTCAATGACCTGACATTTTCATGTTTAAATGGACTAACCTGCTAAAACAAATTTAACCTTGTGAGACTTTTTTTTTTTCCAAGATGACATGGGCTTTATTACTTTGTATTTGTACTTTGGCATAAACCAAACTCAGAGAAGTAGCAAATCTTGTATTTCACATGGCTGCAATTTTAGTTGCGTGGTAAAAATATGCAAAAAAGGAACTGTATCAAGAAATCTGTTAAGCTTTACTGCCTCTCATAATCTGTCCCTCTAGGCCATAACCAGCATTTGGTTTCTGACAGCCTATGCTAGTTTGAGTTAAGAACAAGTCTGGTTAAAAACCACGTCACTTATTGCTAGTATTTACTTCACTTTGAACTACCAACACTTTAATTGGCAAAAATCAAGCATGGCAAATGCAGGAAAGTAAAGGTTATGGTAAACAAAAAATAAAATATATGAGCAAGCTAGACATGGAGAAAAGACTCCAGAACCTAACCAAACAAAACCTCAAACATCCCCTTATTCTAAAGCAAGGTGTCCACGGGAAGACAACAACATTAAGGCCATGGTTATTCCTTCTACTGGCTTCTTCCTGAGACTTGCCTTCTCTTTCTGCCAGTACATGTCGATTCCTGGGGGGAACTAAACTGACACATTAGATACTTGAGAAAGACTCTCACCTGCATAAAAGCTTCTTTTTGCCTGTTGCTTCTCTGTTCAGCAAGGTATTGAATAAGGGTGTTATTTTCTGGTGACCCTCGTACTCCAATTGCTGATCTTCGTCTAAATTTTAATGAAGTTGAAGACTTCCCTGAAACGGGGACAGGAGAGGGGAGGGGGGAAAAAAAACAAACTTTTTTTTTTTAAGAATACCTACAGCTTTAAAATACTGATTTTTTTTAAGAGTGATGTATGCCATTTTTGAAAACATCAGAAATTAGCTGCTCAGCTCAAGAAACCTTTGAGCAAAAAAATTAACTACCTAAAAGCAATATTTAACTAGGCTATATACCAAGTGAGGACCTGTCATTCTTTACTTTTTCAATTGCTAGTTAAGCAACCGTCTACCGATACTTGCAGAATTTCTCTTACTACTCCCTTGTGAAACCCACTGACACCTAATCCACTGGACAGAAAAAAGTTAAGTAGGGAATTAAAGCGACATATCACAGTCCTATCCTTGGGCATATTCAAGCTCAGCCAGACAACCTGAACCTGACCCGAATTGAAGCTTTTGCTAAGAGGTTGGACTAGATGACCTCCAGATGTCCCCTCTGAGGAGGACAACAGTCATTAGTCTCTCCAGCCTTACCTATAGATCGTTTAGTAAAACTTTCTTGAGTAATCCCAAATTCAGCAATTGTTACAGTTGCAAAATCAACAGGTTTTTTCCTCTGTTCCTCTGATACTCCACAATTGGATTTTTCTTCTGCTTTGTCCCTACTAGGTGTCAAGTAGCATTCATCCCCCAAGGAAACAAGTCTGCTTCTTGAAAAATTTTCCTTACTGTTCAAAGGCAAGGTCAGTTCACCAACCATATCCCCTTTTAGTGTATCACAAAAGCATTCAGCAAACTGGCAGCTAAAAACATCCTTCTTGTCATGGTATGAGTCATTCTTGAGGTGTTTGGTGTGTTTCAGGGTGCATTTTTGCAACTGTGCCTGGTTCCCATCACTTAAATTCTCCTTGGATGCCTTCGTGACTTTTGATTTAGTCACTTTGCAAATCTTCTGGTCTTTTGACAGATCAGGGAAAAAGGCCTCTTCCTTCTCTTCAGTGTATCTACTCTCAGTTTCTTTAACTTCCAGGGGAGCATTTATATTCTTAGATCGTCTGTGCATTGTTACTGTTTTATTTTTAGTCAGCCTTTGCTCTCCTGTAATTACAGACATCTATCAAAAAGAAAAAGAGGGTTTAACAGGTATTGGGCAAGAGCAAGAGTTTGCTACCATTCTCAAACTTCTACCAAATTTGGGTTTTTCCTGGAACAAGGTGTTTAACAGTGTGGTGGAAAGGGACAGTAGTATCTCCAGAAAGCTACACCAAAAGGACACAAAAGGCTAGCGCTATTAAAAAAACCGCACAGCAATATAAACCTGCAACACAAGTGTGTCACAAGTAAGAAAATACAAGGCTATGCCTTCATGTTAGTATAAAATATGTTAAGCACAATCACACTGTGATTGCTTTGCTGTAATTGTTGCAACAAGTGGTTTAATGCTAACTGGAAAATTTAAGACGCTAACATTTTTTGCATTTAGTCTCTTGGATTTTAAGTTAACCCCATAAGAGTCAATAATGTCAGTCTGGAACTTTGTTTCCACAGAAATATGCATTTTTCTGTATTTTGCGCAACACGAATTAGGCTGTTAAAACACCGCGTGCGCAACTTTTTTACTTGTTTTGTTGTTTTTGAAGCCCACACTAGAAGTCCACGCCTACATCGACCCGGTCACACAAACGAGACGGCCTTGTGCGAAGGAT